TTTGGTCTTTTTGAGACAGGGTCTCCCTGTAGACCCAGCTGGCCTGAACCTCACTATGTAGACCAGGCTGGCCTTGAACTCACAGAGATCCACCTGCTTCTACCTCCTGAGTGCTGGGATTAAAAGGGCGCACCACCACACCGGGCCGAAATGTCTGCGATTTAAACAAGAAAAAATTTATTTTCACACAGTACTTCATGCAATAGGAGGCTGCAGTGATGGCCCCAGAGTCAGGAACATGGGTTCTCATACTATCTTCATGTTCATGATATGGCTAATTTCTGCTTTCAGATCATTGCTCCAGGATCCACCAGCATGTCTTCCTTTAGAAAGGGGAGAGGAGATGGAGACTATACTGTGCCTTTAAATTTTTTTTTTTATTATTTTATGTGTATGAATGTATTGTCTGAATGTGTGTAAGTGTACCTGAGTCATGCAATGCCCATGGAGGTCAGAAGAGGGTGTCAAATCTCCTGGAACTGGAGTTATGAATGGTCGTTAGCTGCCATGTGGGTGCTGGGAATCAAACCTGGGTCCTCTGTAAGAGCAGTCAGTTTTCTTAACCCCTAAGCCATCTCGCCAGCTCTTTTTGAGATAGGGTCTTACTAGGTAGCACAGGCTGGCCTCCAGTTCATGCTGGGATTATAGGCCTGCACCACCGCACACAACAGCATCCCTTTTTAAAATTTTGATTTATTTATTTTTGTGACAGGGTCTCATTCTGTAGCCCATGCTTGCCTGGAACTCACTATTCCAGGTTGGCCTCTAACTTTCATGATCTTCCTCCCTCAGCCCCACTGACTGCTGGGATTACAGAAGTGAGTCACTGTACCAGGCTCATCCCTTTTTAATGGCTCAGCCCTCTCACATCATAGGCCTTGCTTTAGTCTAAGGCCACAGCTTGTCATTTGGGAGTCTGGAAACTGCAGCTGTAGGTGGGTAGCCATGTGTCCACATAAAGACAGGAGCTCTCTTATGAAATGAGTGGAGATTGGAGACTAAGTAGCTCCTGTAACAGGTCCGTTTCACAAAGGAACCTCTGAAAAAACAAAACCAGGACCTAAAGGAAACTAATCCAAAGAATAAAAGTGGTGAGGGACGAGAGGGGGTAGGGGGCTAAGAAAGAAAAGGGAAGTGAATTCAACCTCAGGTACCTTAGTGAGAAATCTCGTGAAACAGTTTTCCATTTTGTCACTTAAGTTCCCACTTCACTGAAAATTTGTCACTTCTCTGCTGTCCCCAAACCTCTTGCATTTTTGGTACTTACCATGCTATAGCCTAGCTCTGTGACTCTTTCAAGGTGGCTGTGGTGTTTGAGAGCTCATCCAGATACAGAAGTGTTTACCCTTGAGATTTGCTCTAAAAATGAAGAATTAAAAGGGCGGTGGACGCTATGATTGGCTAGTCGGAGTGCTCTGCCAGCGTCTGTCTTTCCCACTCGAGGTCAGCAGCAGCCACCCGAGGGGAGGCTCCAGGTTTCGGCTCCTCCAGGTCCTAGCGCCGGGCGCATTCTCCCCAGGCGGGTCCCGGGCGGGTTCCTCTGCGGGACTAGTTCTTCCTCCCCAACCCTCTCGGTCGGGGGCGGGACTTAGGGTCGGCGGCTCCTGATTGGCCACATCATGGGCGCTCCCCTTCTCCGCCTCTCTGGCTGGGTGAGAGGTCAACGCCGAGCCCGACTGCCTGGGCGACAATGGCCGGACTGTGGGTCGGGACTGTGTCTCTGGTCGCGGCCAGGTGGCGAGGTCGGCGGCCCTTGCAGCAGCTGCTGTGGACCCTGCAGGTGAGCGGTGCTGGGGCTCGCGTGGGCCTGTGCTGCCCAGGTTCCCTGGCGCCTGGCGCGGCGTGTTCCGGCCACCCCCGAGGACCCGGCTCTGGCGGGCTGAGCCGGCCCTTACCCTTCACGCCCGCAAGGCGCCGGACCGAGGCATCCCTCCGAGGTAGAGGCCTAAGCCCGCTGCTCTGCCCTGCCGGCTCCCTGCTTGGAGATGGCCTTCGGGGAGGATTCCTGTGCCTTGCGGTGCTGACTTGGCTCGTAGCTTTCTAGAGAGAGTTTCTAGGAGTCCCTACAGTTAGCTTGCTCTCTTGCACAGGATTGCTATGTAAATAGGGCTGTGAGTTTGTCTTAACTTTGAAAGTGCAGTGCTAAGTCAGGATTGCTGAGTTCACGTGTGACTCGAAAGCTTGTTTAGAGTGTATGACACCACTGAGATGGAATAGCAGTCTTCCAAACTTATTTTTCTTTTCTAGGTAGAGGTTAGTCAGATTGCAAGCATATTTCACCACTGTTCACCCTAGGGTGTCATAGTGACAACTTGACCTGACAGTTGGAGTGTTGGTATATTGTAACTTGCAGGTAGTGACTACACAACTTTTAAAATAGACTTTTAAAAGTCACTTGAGCAAATTTCTTAGAATGAAGTTCCCTTAAAATCGTTTAATGGCTGGGTCAGTGTGCTTGTTAGACTTCCCTTTTCTTTTTTAAAATTAAAATCCTTTAGCCAGGTGTAGTGTACACCTGTAATCAAGGCATCGGAGAGACTGACCTGGGAGGATTGTGAGTTCAAGGCCAGCTTAGACTATATAGCAAGGCCCTGCCTCAAATCCCTTTTTTCCCCCTAAAAGGAAAAAAAAATTAAAAAATTAGAAAATTGCTACATAATTTGGTTTATGGTCACTGAACTTTAGAATCCGAGGCACTTTAGAAATGATCTGCCCATCCTATTCTTTTTAGGGAAATGGAACAGGCCCAGGTGGACTGTGTGAGAGCTGCAAGCTCAGAATGCTGGCTTGCTGGTTTGTGTTGTCTCCACAGCTTTTGTTCTTTAATCTTTTCATTCTGTAATCATTGAATCTGTGTTTGCACTAGTAAAAGACTCTGACACATTTACTTAAGAAACGGCGTTATTGGGAAAGCTGGTCATACAAATGGGACTTTGCATATTTATTGGGTTTTTGTTGTTATAGTTGTTGGTTTTGAGACAGGGTCTCATGTACCCTAGGTTGGCCTCTACCTGATTCTCCTACCTTCCAAAGTGCTGTGATTATAGGCATGCACTATCACACCTGTATATCGGATGTGTATTTTTTCGGATATCTTAAAAACAAATCTTTATTGAATACCTCCAGTGTTCTAGCAGTAGAGGGTGAATATAGTTCTCAGTTTCTTACAAAAGTTAGTCTAGTAGTGAGAGACAGATAAGTTTAAAATGCTGCCGAGGAGAGGTACTTGTGCTAGGATAAAATAAGATGATTTGACCAAGTCAAGAATCTTTTGAACATATCTATACCTTAGGTAACTTTTCTTAATTAATTTATTTAATCCTCATAATAGGCATATGATCCCCCATTTATAGAAGAGGGTCCAAGTATTATGCAACTTGCTTAAAGCCATAGAACTAGTAAGTGACAGATTTAGAATTTAGAAACTGTGGCTCCCCTCCCTCCCTGGGAATCAAACTCTGGGCCTGGTATATCTGAGGCATGGCTGCACCACTGATCTATACCTCCAGCTTCCAGAGACAGCCAGTACTCTTATTTGTATTATACTACTTAAATTAAATAGCATTTTTTTGGAAGGCAAGATTCAGACAAGAGCCAGTGATATAGCTCCGTGGGTAAAGGCATGGGTGACCTGGGTTCATACCCAGAACCTACACAAACATGGAAGGAGAGAACCAACTCCACAAACAAACAAACAAGGAAAAAAAAACCCAACCCCCCCCAAAACAAATCTCCTATCTCTATGCATGTGCACATACATTTCTCTCTCACACACACAAATAATAAAGAATTAAATTCATACATGTTTTGAAGGACAAGGTAACTTTTTTCTGTGCAAAGAAAAAAACCAGAGTGTTGGAAGAGAACAGTTTGTGCAAGGGTCCTGTGGCCAGAGGAAACAGCAAATCTGAGAAAAGCCCCTGGAGGCTCTGATGCAGACCCTAGATGGTGCTGGAGAGGTTGGCAGGTATCAGACCATGGTGGTTGATCCTGTTATAGTTGGTAGCTCTCTTGAAATAGTGGTAAATTTTTTGAGTTGGAGGTAGATGAATGATACTCATTGTGGGAATGACTTTTACGATATGGACATGCACGATATGTACAAATAACTTTTACCTAACCTTGCAACCAAAAATCTAATCTCATCATAGCTAGTTTATAATGTTGGCAAACTTGGTGTGCTCCTCCTGTAACCTGGGCATATGGCCTTAATCTTATGACACTTTTGTCATCGACCCAAAACAAAGTGTGAGTGTGGGTGTATTTTTCACATATTCATTGGAGGCAATGAAGATTATTCCATTTGTGTTGCAAACCACATGGATTACATTAATAATGTCTCTTTGTTGTTCTGTGTATGGTATTCTAGGTCAGTAGGAATCAGAAAGGGACAAATTCTTCTCTAAGAGTCCCTCTAATACTTTTGCTTCCACATTTCACATTGGATATTACCATTTCAATAAAGAAACAGCCCTTTGTGCAGGATCATAGTTCCAAGAGAATTCTGAAGGAACATGGTCTCAGCAGTTCAGGTCTGCTCTTGTCGTAAAATGAATGCTAAGAGTCAGGCTGTTTTATTCAAGCATAATTGTAGCACAACACTGATATTTCAGACTTGGGCTACTGTAAAAGGCGTTATAATTTGTTGCCATCTACTGACTTATGTATTATATATGCTTTCTTTTAAAAATATTTTATTTTTATTATTTTTTATGTGTATGCGTGTTTTGCTTGTGTGTACATAAGTGCACCTGTGTTGTGCGATGCCCATGGAGGTCAGAGGAAGGCATCAATCCTCTGGAACTGGAGTTACTGGACAGTTGTTAGCAGCTATGTGGGTGCTGAGAACTGAACCTGGGTCCTCTTGAAGAAGAGCCAATGCTGAGCCATCTCTCCGGCCCGAGCTTTCCTTTTTATGTATGTGTTTGTGTGTATGCATGTTATATATGTGTGCACGTGTGTGCGCACATATGTGTGAACATGTGAAGGCCAGAGGTCAACATTGGGTGCCAGAGGTCAACATTGGGTGTCTTCATCAGTCACTCCACACCTTATTTTTTGAGACAGGATCTCTCACTGAACCTTGCTCTCATTGATCGAGCAAACCTGGCTGGCCAGCAGGCCTTAGGATCCTCTTGTCTCTGCCTTCGCAGAACTGAGATTACAACTATGCCTGTTTTTTTAAGGGGTCCTAGGTGGATCAAATTCAGATCCTCAGGTTTACATGGCAAGCACTTTACTGAGTGAGCTTTCTCCCTAGGCTTGTGTTATTTATTTTTTTTAACTTAAAAATTTATTTATTTATTTAGTGTGTGCATGTCTGTGTGTAGACAACTTAAGTGAGTCAGTTCTCTCTTTCTACAATGTGGGTCCTGGTGATCTAATGCAGGTCTTCAGCCTCTGTAGCCAGTGTCTGTATCTGCTGAGCTATCTTACTGGCCACTTTGGCCAGGTGTGTCTTTAATCCCAGCATTTGAGAGGCAGAGACAGGAGGATCTGTCTGAGATCAAGGCTAACCTGATCTATATAACAAGTTCCAGGCCAGTTAGGCTACAGGGAAACTTTGTCTTAAAAACAAAAGCCAAATAAAATCCTTACTGGCCCCCTTCTTTGCTTCTTTCTGAGTGAGACAGGCTGACTTTGAGCTCTCTGTGTAGCTGAGGATGACCTTGCATTTCTGACCTTCCTGCCTCTACCTCCTGAATGCTGGGATTACAGGTGTACTTCCCTACTCCAGATTTTACATGGTGTTGGAGATTGAATCCAGGGCTTCATACATGCTAGGCAGACCCTCTATCACATGAGCTACATCTTCAGACTCAGATTTTAGCTTTCATTTCTTATCTCCTGTTTTCTTTTAATGTGCTGGTGGAGACGGCTTCTCATCTTTTTTTGTGATTTTTGCACCCTGTCATAATAGATACTGAATGTGAATTACTGCTGTGCTTGTGCCAGAGAAGCATCCTCCTTTAAAATGGGAAGCATTTCTGAAGTTCATTGCCATTTCAGGGGAACTTGGGCTGCTCCTTCCTTCTTTCTAGGTCTCCTTTCTGTGAACTTGGACTATACCAAGTCTATTTGAAGTGAAACCTTTTGCAGATTTTTACTCCCTCCCATCTGGCTCTACTTCCTTTTGGTTGGATGGAAAGCAGACAGTTAATTCTAGACAAGTCTAGGGAATTCAGACCATTAAATATTTTATTTATTATTTTATTTTATATGTATGACTGTATTGCCTGCATGTATGTGAGTTCGTCCGTGTCATGCAGTGCCCATGGAGGTCAGAAGAGGGTGTTGGATTCCCTGGAACTGGAGTTATGAATGGTTGTTAGCTGCCATCTGGGTCCTGGGATTCGAACCCTGGTCTTCGGCAAGAGTAGCCACTTTTCTTAACCACTGAGCCTTCTCTCTAGCCCCTCAGGCTCTCAGACCATTTTTAAAGCCAGGTTAACAGGTCTGCTTAGTTTCAGGATGTATATGTGTCAGCAGCTGTGTGTTGGACATTGCTCCACACTGCTGCCTGAAGCCCGAGGACTTTATCTTCTCAGGTAAAGTTGGATTTTTGACTTTGCTACAGAAACGAATTTCAGACTGGACTACTATGAAGCAGAGTTGGAGTTTATTAAAAGACATTTAACAGATAGATTTAAGCATGGGAGTTAAGAGAAAGAGAGGCCCTGGAAGAAAGTAATACATGCCTGAGAACAAAGATGTGGGCTTCTTAAGGGAAAGTTGCAGTTAAGTGTCATTACAGCACTCATATATAATGTTTTGATGACT